ACATTAAATATGGCTGTAAACTATTTTACTTGATCCTCTAAGCTCTGCCAGGGTACAGTGCTTACTACCATTAATAATGTTATTTATTTGAATGGGACTACTCAAATAGTAAGTATTATACCCGGTTATGTCTGCAGGAATGTGCACCCTGTGAGCACTTTAACTCCTGTGATAAAGGTTTTTCCTTTTATGAACTGTTCACAATAACATCTATGTTATTCTGTTTACAAGTTAATGAATAGAAAATGACTACCAATGTAATAAATTAGCCAAATTTAAAAGGTTTATCCAAAATTAATTGGACAAATCATAAATTAGTGCTACTGCATGCTCCTTCTCCAAAAAAAGAAAGGCACCAACTTTTATACACTGGCTAATGTTCTGTACACACACTGTTCGATCAGAGGATATATGAAACAACTTTCTGAAAACTGATGAGACAGTGAATGTATAATGAATGTTTTGACTTCACCACAAAAGGGAGAGGACATTGTTTTCTTTCTTTCTTTAACCAAAAATGAAAACCGAAGATTTGTGGAGAGTCAGGTATACCACATATCTTAAAGTTAGACAATTTAGTAAGTTCTACAAATGTTCAGATATTTTATTCACATATTTAAGTACACAGCATACATTGCAGATGCAAAAAACAAGATGGGTATGAAACAAGTGGTATCTTTATTCTGTAAAAAAAATTACATTGTGAAGGTACTTAAGATATTGCCAAGTGATATAAAAACAGAGAGAAGAGAAGAAAGTGAAATGTAAAAACTGATTTTTAATGTCCAGCCTGAAGTTATGTCCTTATTTTCTTTAGCAGTAAGATTTGGTATTGTCAGTCTACAAACAAAACTGTAAAAGAAAGAAGCATTTTAACATTGCAATATAAATCTAAAATTAACCCTTTTGATCATAGAAATACTTGATAGATGCAAGAGTAAGAGTACTGGTATTGAGCCAAAATGGGTGAAGAGAAGGGAGAAGGAATAACAATCAGCATTTAAATACATATTGATTTATTTCCTGTTTATTGCAAATAATTAAAGAATTAGTATGTCACAGGTTTTTGATTGCTTAGATCCATGATTCTGCAAGCACTTACAGGGATGAGTAATTTGAATGTAATTGGGCTATTCCCATGCATAAGTGTTTGTATGATTGGACCTTCCTTTGCAGAATAGTTAATTAGGGAATTAATGTCCCAATGCTGTAATGAGCTCTGCATAGGTACAGGGTCTGACTGCACATTACTCCTGAGGGCATTCTGCGCCAAAAAATAAAAATTTCTGCACACAATATTTTAAAATTCTGAAAATTTTATTTGCCAAATAAATGTGGAGGCTCCAGCATGGCATTGGGGAGCACAGGCAACTGGCTGCACAGAGGTGGGAGATCACTGTGCAGCTCCCTCCCCCCCCCCGGGACACGGACACAGCAGTGAGGCTGCACCCGACACTGACACACCGCAAGGACTGGGCCTGCCCCAGAACACCCAGGGCTCTGCCCCTCCATGCCAGGTGCACCAGGTGTGGACAGGCAGACTCAGCAAGGCAGGATCCAAGTGTGGAGAGGATCCAGGTGTGGGTTGAGAAGGTTCTGTGTGGGGAAATCTGGGTGTGGGCAGCTCAGTGGGGGATCTGAGTGCAGGGGGGATCTGGATGCACAGGGGCTTGTTGGAAGGTTATGGGTGCAAAGGTAATGGGACTCTGCAGGGTGGTCCAGGTGAAGGTGGTTGAGGCTCAGTAGGGTGGGTGGAGTAAGGCTTGGCAGGAGGGTCTGGGTATGAGGGGGTCTGGATGCACGGGGGTTGGGCGGATGTGGGAACAGCTCCCTGTACAGTGATCCCTTCTCCTGCAGCTGAGGAGCGATGGGTGCAGGGGGGGGGGAGGGCGGTTGGCAGAGCTTGCAGCCAGGGGAGAAATCTGGGGGTGGGTCTGACACAGATGCTGTGCAGGGGGAAAAGGAAGTCCCATCCTCTCTAGCCCAGTCGGGACTATCAGCCGAGCCCAGTGCAGGGTCAGAGCCACCAGCCGGGTCTTCCCCAGTCCCACCCCCTGTCCACAGTGATTTACCTCTCTGACGGCTGCCCTGGGCACCCAAAACATACTGCTGGGGAGGGTTGCATGACCGCTCTTATGGCTTCCCTTTTCTTCCCCCATCAGAAAGTCATTTTTCTGCAGGGAAGCAAAGAAATCTGTGGGGTACACAAATTCTACGCATGCGCAGTGGCACAGAATTCCCCAGGAGTAGCACATAGAGCTCATTGCAATTTCAGGTTACACAATTCAGAAACCAGAGTTTAATACAACTGTAAACAATGGGGTTATAAATATGCACTATGATTTCATGTAAGAGTCTCCAAAAATAAATGTAATCAAAATAAATGCTTTCATAAGCAGGATGTGCAGTAATTTTTCTTTAAAAAACAATATTTTTGTATTACAAACATAATGGAATAAAAATATGAAGTTGCAATAAATGGAAGAAACATTCTTAATTAGAATATATTATTGTATTTCTGTTCTATTATCAATACTTATTTCCATTGACAATTTATATACAAGTTGTCATCCCAAGTGTAAAAATACAGTTATAATTAGGCTAATTTATTGCATGTACAAAGTAAATTCTTAGTTTTTTTTTTTTCAAAATATTGTGCAAAGAAAATAATTGCTCTTACAGGGGCACCATCAATTTAAAAATTACACTGCTTTCTGAACATGGTCTTATCTACTATTGCAACAATTACCACCTAAAATTACTATAATTGAAAAAAAGTAGAGATTTTTTTGTTTATTTTGTCCACTTAACAGCACTTTCAGTTTCCCATTGTTTGTCTGAGTCTTTTACACAGCAACAGGGGAAAGAATTTTTTTTTTAAACGTGTGAAAATGTCATTGCAAAACTACAAAAATAGACAGGGAGATTCAGATGCAGTAACAAACTACTTAACCACATCTTAAAAGCTGTTTAGATTGCAACTTGATATTTGTCCCTTTTGTATAGATTTATAAAACTATGTACAAACTTAGATATGGCAAGAAGCATGTCTAGAAATCAATTACCAGCTGGTGAAAAATGTATTTCACAGCTACTGCTATATCAACAAAAAGCCGTTTCATGAGACCATTGCACAACTGCGTGGTAAATTGTTAAATATCCAAACACCTGTTTTCTAATCTTTACATTTGCTGTAGGTCTCCTCCATCTGCCCCCCCCATCCTCTACACATCATTCCAGGTGGGATTTCCTTTTCAGAAATAAGTTTTTAATAGTTTCAACAGCTTAGTTTCTGTTGTTAAAATCTTATTTGAGCAGTTAGAGTTTTTTTCTCTAGTAGACATAGGGACATTAACCGCTTTAGCATTTAAAATGTCAGTTTGTAGTATTATTTGAATATAAAGTCCATAGGAGAAGAAAATGATGACAAAGATATACAAGACATCTCAAACTTCTGATGACTTCATAAACCATTGTTATACTTGCCAACATTTGAAATCCACAAACAGGGACATTTGGGAAGAAAAAATAGGTTTACTTTATGGGAAAAAAAAACAGGATTAAAAATTCTGGAGGTAGCCAGTGGTAACCAATTTTTGCAAAATATAGGGACTGTACCTTCTAAACAGGGATAGTTACCATGCACACACAGTCAGACCTGCCAGCAGTCCCATTTTGGGCAGAACTTTTTGCCTGTCCCACATGCTGGGATTCCTCCACACCATCAAGTTCCTGCAGCTGGCCAGCAAAGGAGTTGCTCAGTGGCCATTACTTGCTTCTCTATCTTCTCAGGCCTTTCTGCAACCCATATTGCATTCCACAGAAAGGCAGTATGAGTAGCAGGTCTGTAAGTTGAGCACCCTATCAAAGGCTCCAGTAGATCAAGAAATTTGGATGGTAGTGAGAAGAGATAAAAGAGGGGTGACTGACAGACAAATTCCAGAGGCTGAGAGAACAGCAGGGATAACCAAAAGTAGGGGTAAGGAAGGGAAACATTGGTGTCAGAGTGAGAGGAGGAGGAGGAGGAGACATCGCAAGGAGGAATGGGAAAGGGTAAGATGGGACAGATGGAAGAGGACTGTTCCCCTACAAAGACTGCAGAGGAATCCTGCCCCGGACAACACCAGGTGCAGTAGCAGGCTATATTACCTCTTGTATCTGCAAGAATATAACACTAAGGCATAGTTATGATCTACCCTTGAAAGTTTGGTTACATGGAGGAGGACCATAGGCCCCGGAGGGAGACTTAATTATTTTGGAAAAGTATATAGGTGCGGGAACTTGGGGTGCAGAAGCACCCCTTGGCTTGAAGTAGTAATAACCCAAATACATGGTTTCTGCCTTCAGAACCCCCCACTATAAAAATTGTTCTAGGATGCTTATCCAAATGCTGAATCTTTGGGGGCTTTGAAAATGCATCAGTTGCAACCTCATGAGACAGCACAAAGTGGTAGGTAGGAAAAGGCAGGAGCATATTCACACTAGCCTAACTAACATGCAACAGAATGCACACAGAATCCTGAGGCAGCTGGAGGAACCTAGTAGCTCCCAGATTATCCAGTTTATCTGAAAAAAATGTCCTTAGAAAAATGTTTCAAATCTTAGCAAGTATGGGATACTACGTGACTAGAACCTTTGGAAGTCTGTGTCATCTTCTCTCTCAATTCCTGATGCAGAACGTGTATAGCTGTGGAGCTATTAATAGACTTTTGTTTGGAGTAAGAAACAGAGTAAGGTTTACTGTGGGAAAACTATTGCCCTAAGTAGTTAAAAAGTTACTGAAGGAGGCATAAGGCTTGAAGTCTGTGGCTTCAGTCTGTGGTCTCATTTTACCAAAATAATTCTCCATATAAAGCTATAAATCCATTGCAGAGTATGTTTTCTGAAGTTTCAAGTTAATTTTTGCTCCATATTTGCTGTAGCTTCCGCCACACACTGCTAGTGTTTTTTGTGTTTTAGCTCATGTCGCTTTTACTGCCAATACCAGAACTCCAGCAGGGAGAGTAATAAGCATCTTGGATAGATGTACTACTTATAATATTAGGATTAGATTCTGTTTTCACATCATTTCACTTTATTTTTTTTTGCATCTTTCTTGCTGACAAGCCTATAAAGCAGCATAAAAGCAAGGAAATGTGTGCCTGAGCCCGAATGGGCAAGTTGTCCCTCTTCTGCCACGGCTGCAGCAGGATCGCTGGCAGAAGAACCCAGGCATTTCTACTGCCTTGGGGGCAGAATTTAGACAGGCCACCCAGTGGGTGCAAACTGATTGGAGAGGAGCAGAGGCCAGCTCTGTGAGGACTCCATGACCTCATGCAAAGTGATCTCCTTGGGGCTGACTGGGGCCAAGAAAATCTCTGCTGTTGGATCCTTCAGTCTTGCATCCCACAGAGTAGTGCTAGGCTGAACATCTGGCCAGTTAACAGAGATTTATGTACGTAAATTCAGTCGTTCTAATACTGGACCATTGGTGTTCTGTGGAGCAGATTCTGTCACAGTGGTGAAACTTCTCTGTCAGCATTCCGGTGACGTGTTTTGTTTGTTGGGAGTCCCATCCACATTAATCTTATGAGTTTCAACTAACTATATAGAAACAGAAGGAAAAAAAAAAAAGAAGAGAGAGAGAGAAAAGAACACCTCTCTGCACCCTGTGTGGCTTTATCTAGATTAGGAAAAGAGGTCAAGGTAACTAATATGTTAGTTAACTCCAACCTCCCCATGACCTTTTCCCTAGTGTAGACCAAGGTCAAGACTTTTTACCTCACTTAGGTAGTTAAGGTTGACCCTTAGGTTCCCACAAGGGTTGACCGAGACCAGCTAAACTGAGGTAAGAGGCATTAATTTGAATCTACTCTGGGGGAAATGTCTGGGTTAGCCAACATATATTAGCTAACCCTGCTGTAACCTCAACTTCTTCTAAGCAAAGGTATGACCAACTAGCTGCAACTAGCCATTAGCTCCCCTGTATCTGCTATAGAGCCCACAGGCTCTAAGACATTTATACTTGCTTACCTCCTGCCCTCCCACATTGGAGTTTTGCCAGGTGGAGCTACATGGCAGCATGTGCTGCCATGGAACACTGTGCTGCAGCATGTGGAATATGGAGTCCCCCTGTGCAGCCTCTGCTCCTTACTTCTGAGCTAGGTAACTATGGTAGCTCCTGCCGCTTTTCACACCTTGAATCCCTGGGGTAAGAGGTGGGATTTGGCTATCAGTAAGCTGCAGGCTGCTTTAATTGCAGCACTGGAAGTTCAGAGTTCTGCAGTAGGGAATGCTGGGGTGAGGAGGACTGGCACTTAATTTTCACCATGAAACTAAATGTTTCTACTGTTGAAACAGTAAACAGAAACAAACACAAAGCTTTTTATTTACCAAATAAATCAGCAGTTGTGACAGATGGGTTGCAAGCTAAACAGAAATTAGTTATGAGTTAGCTAACTTCAATAAATTATCAGATTACCTAAAAATTAAAATAGCCCGTTTAATTATAAGGCCGAAGACTGACAGAAATAATGGGGCTGCCAAGAAAAATAAGTGCTGACATTATAGCAGACACAATACCCTAGGCAGCTACAGTATTAGGGACAAATTCTGCCAATGGACCTCCTCACCTTCTCCACTGACTTCAAAGGTTGTTGCTTGTACCTATTTGAGGGCAGAATTTGTCATCTACTGTCCAACTCTCACACACTGCAAAAATAATTTGTCATTTATTACTTCTGTGAGAAAAGTAATCAGCAACAGATGAACAAATTTGTTTTTAGAACCAATAATTAGTAATAGAATTACCCAGTTGTGCTTGAATAACTCTGTATGTATATACACAAGCTCACTATGTACTGTACATGTGTAATTACAACCAATGTATAGCAGTTTTGAGTTTTTACTAAAATACAGAACTATTTGAATAAATACAATGGCTATATATTAAATCAGTAGACTTACAGCAAGATTATTCCACAGGTACTAAGAGGGTAGAAAATTCCTATAATAATGCCATTCAGAGATGGCTCAGAGCAAATGTATCAAACCTAACTGGGTTTTTGAGAGAATCCAAACCCTAAATATTCTATTTGCCATCAGGAAGCATGAACTGGTAGATGCTATATTTTTAAGTTTTCCCAGTAGTACATCAGGAAATGACACTGCAGCATTAGCCAATCAATGTTGTCCAATGTCATCATTCCATTCCGAAAGCACTGCTTTCCAGATAAGAAGTCTGGAAATATACTATGATGCAAATTTGTTTGTAGAAATCTTACGACAAAATATCTAACCCAGCAATTTGTATGATCTGAACTAAATCCCACAGAAGATGAGTAATTTTGCATTATTACTGTCCATCGGGATTCCAGGCACTTAACATTACCAATGTCATTTTCATTCTTAACTGGTTTAAAATCATGGGTGAGATCCTGGCTCCACTGAATTCAATGGCAAAACTCCCACTGACTTCAACAGGGCCAGGATTTCATCCTGTGTGTCATTTACTCTCTCTTTCGCTGATACAGGGAGTTCAGGAATTTTAATGTTTGGCAAAATGTACATTTTTAAGCTAGTGTTGGGGTGTTGATAATCAGCTTGATTGAAGTTCAGGGTCAAAGTATGGTATGTTTTCTATTAAAGGGCAGATTAAGGCACAATATTTACAGGTACTGCAACCACTGCAGCATTTAAGTAAGATAGACTAAATAACCATTACCATTTTTCAAATTAAACCAGTAAACACTCTTACAATATTCTTTCATAAAACAGCAGATAAGCTTGTGAATTTAGTACTCTTGATTCTGGAACCATCTGTACATGGACATCACTAACATACACCCACTGTCCTGCTGATGCTCCCACAGTTTCCTTTAAACCTGAAATGCAAATGCAAAGAGTTACTATTCACCGGCTTATACCTTTACTATCAAATGACACACTGGTGCTTCACAGAAGAGGTGGGAAAATACCTTTGAACACATCAGTTATTCATGATGTATAAACAAATATTACATATGTTTCTATCTTAAATTTACACTGAATAAGTTGAAGTTTTTTGTTTTGTTTTTTACTTTGTAACCAAATAAATGTGTATTGGAAAAATGTCATAATGGGAGGAGCAGATAAAAGGTAATATTTATATAGAATATGACCATTGTTTTATGCCATTCACAAAAATCGTATTTACACTGGATAACCGTCATATCTTTTTTTTTTTTGCCCTGTCTTTTCTCAAAAAGCAGCTTGTCCTCCGTTACGGTTTTTCTGAATTACATTGATAATGTCTAGTACACAGGATCAATTCTGAGACGGAAAAAGGAATATTTCAGCAGTTATTTAATAGCAATTTAAAAACACTACAAGGATCCACTGGGCTCCCGTGAACTTTCAAAGAGAACCAAGTGACTAGTGGAGACTTAAGTTTTTTAGATGGGCTTCTAATATAAAATGATCGCTAGCAAGGACTGGCAGTTTTTTTTCTAAAATGAAAAAAGGTACAGACTGACACCCCCCCACCCCCCATCAGCCCAATTCTCCTACCCAATAATCACTCAGCCATTATTTGGCAGAGCTCCTGGCATCTTCTACTTCCCTCCATTATTTCATAGGATGCCACTTCGAACTCCAGTAGAGTCACCAGGAGAAATTTTCAATCCTCCATAAAATAGTATTTCTTACTTTTCACACTAAACCAGAGTATTTGGTATTTTTTGCATACTGACACTGTGCCTAGCATAGTATAAGACTCAAAATGGAACAGCTTCTGTTTCAAATAACTTTCAATCTAAGAGACACAGAAGAGACAAGAACCCCAGAGAAGGAAATAACTTGTTTTAAAAACTGTTACTGACTCACTTCTTGAAGGCACTGGGAAAGAAGTGAGCCTTTAGGAGAGACTTTAGTGAAGACAGGAAGATGACTTGGTATTCCACAGGTAGAGAGTAGGTGGCATAGAAATTAGTGTTTATATATTGGGTTTACTAAAACAAAAATTAACAACTTGTGTGGCACTGCAAATTATGAGAAGATTCAAGGCCAAAGTGTTTACTCAATATAAGTACAGTGACTGGATGAGTGGTACCAATGATCAATTTTGTTTCCTTACAAAGGGAGAAGTGTTTGTCGGACATACCTTGAACATTTTTATTGCTAGCAATGTGCTCCAATAATTTCTTGGAAGGTATTCTGACTTTCACATATGCTGCATAGTGACCCCCTCGCATTGAGCCACTGTGCTCCACTATTCCATAAAGAGTGTACAGAACTCTTGCTCCATCTGTAACATTCTTATTCACAAAATCACAGAAAATAAAGATGAATTGTATCATTTCATAGTGGATTTTTACAATATATATGTTAACACATTTCAAATATTACAACAATAAAGGGAGCAAATAGGTGATAAGTACTGTAGTTTGTTAAGTATGTTTTGCAATGCTGAAGTAACTTGAGAAAGAAGTGAAGACAATGTTATTCAGAGTTCAATAACTAAATCCAGTTTTGTTGGAAGCACTGATAATTAGCTGTAATGCTACTGTGTTCATTTTAAAACATTAAGTGGGACAGATCCTCCTCAACTGATTTCAATGGAGCTATGCCAGTTTACACCAGTTAAAGAACTGATCCTTGATTACTGCTTGAACACATTCATTTGTAATTTCTTTGGGGTGAAAATCAGAGTTTAACTTGTATCCATAGCTGCAAAAGTTACACTACAATAAATTAATGCTTTAAAATAAAGACTCTAAAATGTATTCTTAATATATCGTACCTTGCAGGAAGCGGAACAAAATGGTGCTAAGTCTAAAATCAGTGGGAAATCCACATGTCTATTTACTTTCCGTAGACTCAAACCAGCCTTCAAGAGAAAATAAGAGTATGAAAGAAACATTTTTACATAGCTGCCTTTTAAATCTAACTGTATTGCTTCAGTACTAAAATAACCTAAGACAAAACAGAATACAAAATCTGTAATGAATGTGGATAAAACACATTTTCTATTCATCTCTTCAACATTACATACAAAAAAAAAAAACCCTATGGTACAGAAACGTTATTTTGGTTTCCTGTGCAACCTGAATTCTGCCCCTTTGTGTGACCATTCTGTGCAATGGAGACAGGGTACCACAGAAAAAGTAGAATGTGAATAAATGGTATTTATTCTTAAACACCATCATACTGCATATACACAAGGGGACAGAATTAAGGTCGCACAGGAAACAATAAATCTGGAATTTCCTAACTTTTAACTGTTAATTTGGTTGCAAAGTCAAGCATTCTATTAACATTTTAATGCAATTTCCTACGTTTTTTATTTTTAAAAGTTAAAAAGAAATAACATTGTATTATATACAATTGTACCAACTCTCTATCACACATCAGCCAGCGTTCAGTTATTTTTGCATATTGCCAAAATTTTCCTGAAGAATGACAATTTTCAAGAATTTCTCTCTCAGCAACACTTGAACAGAATTTCACTGGACGAAGAAAAGGCACTACATTCCCTTGGATCCAGAGCTTTTGAGGTAAAATTTGAAATATGATGGGATGGCAAAAATGTGACATGGGAATATCTAAAGCCAAAAGATTTGGAAGAGCAATGGAAGTATTTGTACATACTAAGGGGAGGAAAGTCAGCTAATGTTTAGATTTAGTTATGATGGGAACAATCTGAATATGAGTACTCTGAACTGTATCTTTTGGAGTTTGGGATTTGATGTAATCACCCTGGATGTGACTAATGAACAAGAATTGGCTAATACTCATGTGGGATGGAATGAGTCAATGGCTCTTAAATTATGAGAATATGGTGTAACGGCAAATCCTTCCATAATGATAAGATTGAGCTGCTTTAGGAAAATTAATGGGGGAATATATTTTCGGGGATATGGTTGTTTATTTATGTTTATTAATCAGATACCAGTAAACAAGATTGCACCAAGAATCAAGGCAGACAAGCACCCATATAGGAGGGGAGAAGTAATCGAAGCCCCAACTATTGTGGATCAAACAATCTGGTTGGAAGGAGCGCAAGTAAACGTAAGTGCACAACATTCGGAGTGTATGCCATATGCCTTGCTTCTATTACAAGTGTGGCAACAACAATAGGGAGACGGGACTATACAAAATGAGAGGTATAGGGGACTATATTGTAGGTAGTATTGGTGCTGGAGCTTTAAACTCATTTGATATTGAGACGTTACAAGGGAAAATGTCAGCTTTGAGTAAGATTTTGGGGGTTATACAGACACGACACAAAATTTTGGTGCATTATCAGAACAAGTAATAAGAACTGTGGAACTCCAATTGAAACAAGCCCAAGCCTTGAAAACGTCTCTAAATGTAAATCTGTTTGGTGTGTCTGAGATTGACAATAAAACTGTACTAGCAATACGATGTGTACAGATGCAAACTTATGGGATACAATACATAGAGAGAATGGTTAATCTGTTAAGTAATGGGCAATGGCCTTTTGAGTGGTTCAAAGAGCCTCATATATGGAATCAATGAATTGCAGGATGGAAGAAATATATGGAGTTTAATTGGAATCAAGCCACTCTGAGGGGAGACTGGAAAAGCAGAATGCTGTTACACAACACAGGGAAGCAAAGAAAAGCACCAATGGCCTGGGTGTGGCCAAAAATTATTAATGAAGAGTTATGGTCATCCCGTAGGGAGACCTCTATTGCGAGTCTAATATTTCCGAAACAAAATTTGTGGGATTTGCAAGAGATTTTGATAAAATTTGGTTTTGTTCTAATTTGTAATGAAACCAAATTCCAAAATACCGATACTTCTCAAGAACTGAGAATCCTGAGTTTTGGCCAGCTCTGCCTCCCCTTAACCCAGTTTCCATCTTTCAGACATGGGGCTCCCCCAACATCTCCAACCTGGCTCTTCCTGTGGTCTACTGAGGGAAGTGAGGCATCTCCCAAAACTGTCTCCCCCATTCATTGAATGAACCAACAATATGCCCCAAGTGGGGTCTGAATTAATAGATGCAGTATTAGCAGCTAGTGCTCAAACCCACAGCCCTATGCTGCAGACTGCTGTCTCTCTTCAGCAGTCAACTAACATGGCCAGAATAACATGGCAGTAGCCAGGAGGCTGCTGCCACTGTACCTTCTTTCTTAAATAAGAGGGAAAAAACCAGCAGTCCTACGAAAAACCCTTAGCATACCCCCGTGTGAAAGCCACTTCTGTACATCTCTACTAGGTACAGACAGTCTGTTACAACAAGTTCTTTCAATGAGTGAATTTTAAAAGAACAGATTTTTTTTACTTTTACCTGGTGGAATCTTTTCAGATGGAGAACAAGAATGGCAGGAACCGCAGAAATCAGCAGTTGCTTCCGGGCATTAGTGTATAAGTCATCGGTTTTCTTTTCTGTGCAGCACATAGTAGAAGAATTATAAAACAATTCAATAATTTATAAATATCAAAGTGATCACACAGAATATTTAAAACTATTGAAAGGCACGTGCACAGAGAGAAATCTAGTTTCTAATGTTCTTTTTTTAATCAGTTCAACATGTTTCACTGTTTACAGCCAGCAAAAATACTTTCTGTATGTGATACTCACTTAGTGAATTTAGGAACATAACACCAAGAAAACAAGTGGAATTTCTGGTGGGAATGGCAGTGAAAGGAAGAACATTTTCTGTTTTGTATTATTTTAATACATGACCTTACCCACTCTTGGCCACTATTATGATCTCTCATCACACAAGTTAGCAAAAGAACACCTCTGTTCTATAGATCAGCAATCAATGGCTCAGACACTTGCTCAGAAGAGACACTGACATGTCAGTGGTAAAAGCTGAGCATTTTAATACTGGTCTTGAATTTAGTTCTTATATTCATAAATACTGGTGTTGACAAGACTAAGGTTCTGATTCTACAGCAGGATCAAAATGGTTGGACTCTTATGTGCCTATTCAGCAGGATGCTGGGAGGGACAAAGGTCCACATGTCCAAGTCTAAGTTTATAATCTGAGATACTGTAACCTTCCCTTGATTCATCCCAATCTTCTCACTTGAGAATTACTTAAAACTATTTTACCAGTTCTGAAAGTGTAAATCACACTTAAAATAACAAGCTGTGTGAAGATCCTGTTTGATTACACCAATGTAAAATTCCGGGGTGCAATCCAGAAACAGTGAGAGGTTGTGCAACTACCTGCTCGGTAACCCAGAGTGTCTTAAATGCCCTGTTGCTGTGGTTCACTGCCCAACAGGGTGCTGGAACAATTTGTATAGTGGGGGTGCTGTTAGCCATTGAACCAAACTGTAAACCCTGTATATGATGGAAACTACTTCAAGCAAGGGCTGCAGCAAGACCCCTAGCAACTATGCTGCCCAGACAACAAAAGCCAGCACACAAGCCAGCACTGAGTGTCTGTGCACTCTGCAGCTCCGGTTCAGTGCTCTGACCCCAGCAGCCTACCTACAGCACACCCTGAGCTCCAACACAGCGAGCAGATGGTAACCAAGGGTGGTGGAGACCAGGGTAAAACTGTTGTGCTATAGGCAGGCTGCTGGGGTCAGAGCATTGAACCAGAACTCCATAGCACACAAACACTCAGTGCAGACTTGTACGCTGGCTGTTGGTATCTGGGCAGTGAACCACAACAGCAGACCATTTAAGGCACTCAGGGTTACCGGGCAGGCTGTGACATAACTTCTCTCTGGTCTGGATTGCACCCCAAAATGTCACAGTCTTACATAGAACAGTCCTGTTAATATACCCAGAAAGATATTAGCTTTTTCCTGAACCCCTAGATCCTTTTCAGTAGCAATACTGCCGAGTCAGTTATCCCCCTTTGGTCGTTGTACATTTGTTTTTTTCCCTTCCTAAGTGAAGCATTTTACACTTTTTATTGAATTTTATCTTGTTGATTTCAGACTTCATTCTACAATTTTCAAGGTTGTTTTGAATTCTAATCCTGACCAAAGTGCTAGCAACCCCTCCTCACTTCATGTCATCCACAATTTTATAAGCATACTCTCCACTCCATTATCCAAGTCATTACTGAAAATATTGCATAGTACTGGACCCAGGGCAGACCCCCTGAGCGTGTTAAAGAGAGTTGTTTAAATGAATAACACATATACACAACATTAGCACATTACCTGTGCTGTGAGTTTTCTTTTGATACTTCTGTTTCCTTTCTGTACAATTCTCACATAAAAGCTTGTTGTTCCCCATTAACAGCTCCACAGATGTAAACTGGTAGAGGCAGGATTGAACAGAACATTCTTTAGAGCTAGTTATATAACTTTGAGAAAGAGTCTGGAAAGCATTTTGAGGGCTTTGGGACAAAGGGGACTTTTCCACTGAAAACATGGAATTGTTTGACAAACTTAATGATGGATCCCCACTGATGGGTTCTTCGCTTTCATTGACAATACTGTTGAAGCTGAGCTTGGATATGGCACTGGTGATCATCTCATTATTACTGTCACTTGGTTTGTTGTGTGGCAGTCTAATGTTTACCAAGTGGTTAAGCCCGTCAACGTGTAAACCAGATGCGTTACTGGATCTACCAGTAACTGCTTGCTTAGCAGCACTTTCACCTTCTGAGGCTTCACTGTCTGCATCAACGCTACTTTCTGAACGGCTGACTTCTTTTTCACTGCCTTCAGTCTGACTTCCATTTGCTGTGGATACAGTAGCTGTATTTATGGCCTCAGAATACAAAACTCCAGAACCACCTTCTACTTCAAGCTTTCTTTTTTCATGCATGATAACTGGACTTCTCTCCTCTTCCCCAGAGGAGGATTTCCTGGCAAGACTTCTTTCATGATTTAACTGATTCTGGAAATTGCCACATTATTATTTCAAAGGGGCATGGGAGAGAAACAGAAAAAATATACTAGTGAATCTAAAGACAGTCAGATATCATTAAGTAGCAGTAAATATAACTTATGACACTTTCAAAACAAAATAAAACCCAATATTTTAATTTATCATCTAGCTATGCAATTATTAATTAATTTATTTGTTTGTATTGTGTTAGCACCTAGGAGCCCCATTCATAAATCAGGACCCCACTGTACTAGGCACTGTACAAACACAAAAGAAAACAATAGTCCCCTGCCTCGAAGAACTTATAATGTATAGACTTGATCTCCTAAATTCTTTAGATAATCTGGTTCTTAAATGTAGATCTGTACACTGGGCAGAAAGAGATGTTACATAATTAGTGAGATCAATGCTTCTTGAGACAAATCATATCAAATTTGTGACACTATAGCTTCCGCTGTGGATGGTAAAGATTCTACATTCTGCTTGTAAACTTGGACTGTTAGTTTAGTTGGACTGATTATACATTTTGCTGCTAACAAAGAAATAGCACTCCCAGATCTATAACAAGATTTCTAATCATTGTAATTTTCATGGGACCTAGGCTGTCTTGTTCATACAAGAATTCTGATTTAAGATTTTGAAATATATTGAATTTTTTTTATAACTGAGAAATACTATTATATTAAAAAAAATCCTTAATAAAAATGAACAAGAAAAAGGTATCAAAAAAGGTCATTTCAACAAACTTTTTATTACTTCAAAATTAGTAAAAAGGATTCACAGACTTTCTCCAGCCAGCACTACTGCATGTACTTCTTCCCTTACTATCGCAACCATGCAGACAACTGTCTCCAACCCAACAACAGAGGTGTGGACTACGCCCTCTCTCATGCGCTTCATATTAATGTAGAGTGAATGGCAATGCCAAAGTTTTTCTATTTTCTTTAATATTCTCTTGCCCTGAAACACCCAGTATAATAATAAATCATTGTGGTAGCTTAGTTTGAATTCTTGTCATTACCCTACTCTCACAATCTTTTGTGGCTGCAAAGGAACGCATGATAGTGGTCACAGGAAGAAATCAGGGCTGATTTTGGTTGAGACAAGTTCCAGTGCTGGGTGTTGCTTGTGCAGGCCTAGGAACTGCTGGAAGTAAGCTGAACTATGTTTTCTAGATGGCGATTTAGGCAATTACAGGGATGGGTGCTGTGGATGGGAGTTCAAGGGGTGGCACTTCGGTTCTTCCAGTCCCACCTGCACCATACTTAGCATGTTTTAAGTACCGAAGTTTGAAAATGTTGCCATCCATTAGATTCACCTTTTCTGTATTGACAACTCTACTACTGCAGCACCATAAATGAATGTAAAGGATGGTCTATGTATCTTTATTATATATTTTTATACCAATTCTACTTTTATATTGACCTTGTATGTATAGTTATATTATCTGTAGTTGGATTATTTCAAATTTAAGAAGAGGAAAACTTGCAATCCCAGAAAAATACTATCATAGATAAAAATCTAATCAAAACTGGCATATGGTTAAGAAATGTCTATTTATATTCTCAGCTCTTTTTTCCTTTCTGTCTACCTCCTTGTAGCTAAGTTTCAATGAAAAACTTCTAGTCCATCTATTTTTATCTTTATACTTAATTTCATTTTCCTTTATATATATATATATTCAGGGTGTGTCCAAAGTCCAGTTAAGTCAATGGAAATCCTTTCATTCACTTCAATGGGTTATTGATCAGACTCTAATTTTCCCATTACTATGGATGTCTGTGCTTTTATCTTTCTATCTTTTTGCCTTGTTTCCACTATACCTAGGGCCCTACCAAATTCATGGTCCATTTTGGTCAATTTCAGTGTCATAGGATTTCGGCTATTTAAATATGAAATGTCACAGTGTTGTAATTGTAGGGGTCCTGAGCTAAAACGGAGTTGTGGGGGATTGCAAGGTTATTGTAGAAGGGGTTGAGGTACTGCTACCCTTATTTCTGCGCTGCTGCTGGTGGCGGCATTGCCTTCAGAGCTTGGCAGCTGGAGAGCAGCAGCTGCTGGCCGGGAGCCCAGCTTTGAAGGCCAGCAGCAGCGCAGAAGTAAGGATAGCATGCTATGGTACTGCCACCCTTACTTCTGAAGGCAGTGCCTTACTTCTGCACTGCTCCTTGCAGAGCTGGGCCCTCCACTCTCCAGCTACCCAGCTCTGAAGGCAGCACAGAAGGGTGGCAATGCCACAACTCACTTTTGAGTCAGGACCCTCAAGTTGAGAAACACTGCTCTCTCCTGTGAAATCTGTATAGTATAGGGTAAATGCACACAAAAGACCACATTTCATGGGGGGAGATAATATTTCACGGTCTGTGATGCATTTTTTATGGCCGTGAGTTTGGTAGGGCCCTAACTATACCACTCTTCTCACTAGTTTTGTCTCATGTGTCTTCTTTGGTCCTTCTCCACTGCTCTTCTTTTCATTCTAAATGTTCATTTTCTGTGTTTACGCCCTGATTTACCAGAACCCTTAAGCATGTGCTGAAGGCTCCAATTCAGGAAAACATTCCTGCTCCGGAAGGGTGTTTGAGCACGTGTTCAATTTTAAGCACGTGCTTAAGTCCCATTGAAGTCAATGAAACTTAAACATGTTCCTAAATGTTTTATTTCATAGGGATGGACTTGTGTTTTCATAATTCGGGGCCTCAGACTGGAAAGTCATGGTGCAATTTAGCAAAGAAGAAATAAAAATTACAAAGACAAAACAACCACAAGTGAGAAAAACGTCTTGCCCCACTGAGGTTTGTTTAATTTCTACAAGTTGTTAAAAGGAACTAATTCACTATTGTTACTAATTCCTACTAGAATTCAGGATACAGTATTATGAAAACAGAGCTCATTAAGTCCTTAACACTAGGAAGTTTAGTTTGCTGAATAAAAGCATTAGGACTGGCAACTAGTGCTTGGATGTCTTCCTGCTGAAAGTGGATTTTTTCCAAGTGCCCTTGGAGCTCCAGATATAGGCTTCTCAAATCCTGCGCTAGAGAGACAGAATACAAACAGACTTGGAATTGGCAATTGCCTGTTAGATAGATTCAGTGCAGAGAAAGGATATTTAACATCTCTTAATCAAGTTATTCAGAAAGACAAAGTGATGTATGGTCCAAAAGGGAAAAAAGCACAAGGATTTTTGAATCACGGAACCACACAAATTAGAGATGGGACAGATTTATTCGGTTATTTTGTGTATACCTGGGAAAACAAAGTTGCTTCCTATAATCTATTAGAGGGTTTTGTCTAGACTTGGAATACTAATTTTAAATGAATCCTGTATTTAAAAAAGGTTTTAAAAATCAGATTTATAGTTTGATTCATAATTCACTGACTGAAACTACCTACAGAGTTTTATGCTTCTGTCAATATTATTAGTAGTTTCATATACATTCAGGAATTGTTTAAGTCATTCAGCATTGGTATTCTGACATATTCTAATATTCTGCTGGATGCTACATACAATAAGGAGACTTACAAAAAGGATATTCTAAATAGAGAACATGAATACCAAACCAAAGCCTCTGTCACACATTATTAGCAATAATGCATATACAGAACATGGATTATAGATTTCCTTTCCTCTGCAGAGCTCTGACATGTTTAAAAAGAAAATGCTTTCTTGTGAAATACTATAGAACAGAGCATGACAAAGGAAGGAGCTTCAGTGTTAATGAACATTTTTGTTAGTTTGGCAGGTCTTCAGAATGTTGTGCCACCATCAAGAAGGACCATGTTAAGGGGCTGAACTGTGACTCCCAAGCCTTTGGGCAACTGGAGGCTGAGTGCATCATAGAAGCCATATTCTCAGTCTCCAGGGGGACTGTGTTGGCTGTACTACTCTTGTAGCACACCCTGCCAACTGATCCACCAAATGGCACTAATGCTGACTTGCCTGCTCTCTTTGCCAGCATTACCACGCCTGTGATTTCAGCCAGAAGCAAACTTGGAGGATAGCACGAGGCGGGAGGCCAACAAAACGAAGTCATGTGAATTAAAAACTAAATCTAGAGAAAAGATTTCACTTTTACAAACGAAGCCATAATTTTCAAACCACATGGCATCCCAGTCACTGATTTTTTCATGCATATAATGTTCTCTATATTTTTATAAATCTGTAATTTAGCTATTTAAAAATATGAACTTTAAAAATCTATAAATCTAGAAGTAAATATGCAGCAGATCAATTTGAAGTGGATTTTTTTAAGCCTCCCATTCATTGCACACTAGAATTCTACTTTGTTACCTGAAACATTCTAACAGGGTTTGAATATAAAGTTGGCCAGCAATGCTGTTACATTCTAACCTTATCTTTTGTTAAAGAGTGTCTCCTGGTGATTTTTGGTTGTTGATTATTTGGCGCAGTAATAGCAGAGCAGTTGAACTGACCAAGATCTGCTTCTTGTATGTTTTTACATTTACTTGTCCTTCCCAAAGGCATGGGTTTTGAGACCTGAGAAATAAAATATTGTGATTTAGGAAAGAAATTATATAAAATCCCATTTTCCTTGTATCCATAAAATAACTAAATGCAGTTTGCAGTGCATAGCCATGTTGGTCCCATGAAACTGAGAGAGATCTCATATCTTAGTTGCACTTTTATTTAGTACTAGTCTAAATAAAGCCACATTCTTTGGTTAACTGGCCTCTGACTTGTGATACACAACTGCTTTCTAAGTTTATAGAACATAACCTACTATACCTGGGAAAACTGCGTTGACACCCAAGGGTCTGCAGATATAAAAATGGGAACTTCCATTCCCAGGAAAACAATATGATCAAAGAGGCACCAATTCCACTCATTTTCAGTAATCCTCAAACACAAGTTAAAACTGCCTTTCCCTAATAGAACCACTGGGGAAGAGTGGTGGTGAAAAAACTGCCTGTCTTTCCCCCAGAGAGAATTCTCTTGGAAGACCACTTACTCCACAGATGCAGAAGGGTGAAATTTGCAACAAGGATCAAACAAACAAATAAATAATTGTGTTCCAGCCTCCAACCATCAGTTCCTTTTTTACTTAAGTTATTAAATGCTCTCCTCAGCCTACATGTGAATCTACAGTGGAGCTGCTAAGAAGGATACTTAAAACAAAAACAAAAACCCAAGACTTTCTTCCAATTAATGAAGAGAGCTTATAAAACTCTGTGCTAATCATTACATTTAAAATAATGTTCTAAAATAAATTGGAACAATGATATTCACAGTGAACCAATTTTTACATTACCTCATCACTTTGTTAGCCTTCAGTGAGAGTTGCAGGTAAATCTCTGAGCATTTAAATACTACTTTAGTCATTTCTTTAGATATAGAAAGCAACAGATTAGGAATTGACTTTTCAAAAGCTTCTAAGTACCCTGAAATTGGTTTGCATTTAGACTAATTTACCAATAATCTGTTTGAACGTGTATGGGTATATGTACACAAAGTATTATAAAACTAAACATATGACTATTTATGAATTGTTCTACATTTAGGCTAATTTAATATACAGATACAGACACTGTACATATTTTTGTATATACATATACAAATTACATAATATATTACATACATACACACACTAAGGTTATTAAAGCAAAACAATGTGTATCTATACATTTCTATACACACATTTTTATACAGATGTGTAAAAAAACATACTCCAGCAGAAGCTGTGATTATTTATTAAATATTTGATTGGTTTCTTACCCTCTCCTCTATTATAGGGAGTGAAAGATCAATGAAAGGTTCCTTTACTGTGGAAATCTTGGAGGAAAAGACAATTAAATACAAAGAACTGTATTAGAGTTCTAGCATGAAGTCTCCATGTTTCTATTATAGTAGGAAAAAAACTATACAAAAGGTAATTGTCAGGTGCAAGATCTTTCTAATTAGAATGAAGAACTTTCTACAATCCTTGTACTAAATATTTACTTAAAGTTAACTGTGATTTTATTTTGGGTCAGTAAGTATTGGAGAATGCAATGTCAAATTTCAGTGTATAAAAACACTGGACAAGGTCATATATATCCCTGTGATCCATACACAGAAGAGACCTTCCCTTCCCACTCAAAGAGTGTCATAAGAACGGCCCTACTGCGTCAGCCCAATGGTCCATCTAACCCAAGCCACTATCTTCTGACAGTGGCTGGTGCCAGATGCTCCAGAGGGAATGAACAGAACAGGGCAATTATCAAGTGATCCATCTCGTTGTCCAGTCCTACAGGCTTAGGGATACCCAGAGCATGGGGTTGCATCCTTGACCATCCTGGCTAATAGCCATTGATGGACCTATCCTCCATGTCAGTTGCCACTAAGTATTCCCTTACCTGCACAGGCTCTCTAAGGGTGTAGCAATACATGAGAGGACAGGAGGTAAGCAGGGGAGCTGCATACTGTCCCCATCCCAGAACCTAGAGCAAACTAAAAAGATAGGGAAACCCTTTGAAAGGGAAGTCCCAGAGACAGATGCTGGATGGGGAGTCACTGGCAGCATGGCTTGAACAGCAACATGGCACAAGGGAACAGGCAGTGAGCCACAGGAATCACGTGATAGCTGGCGGATCTCAGATCTATGCAGATGTTGGAGGACGTGGTGTTTGTGGTTGGATTACCAATTTCTTCTGCAGGCAGAGGGTGCAAACCCAATGGAAAACTGCAGAGTAAACGTTGAAGGGAAACTTGGAATCTTTGACCCTATGCAGAAATGTTTGAGCTTTTGCACTGCTCATGAATACAATTATTGATATAATTGTCATTTACTCAACAAGTGGGTAAAATGACAGGATTCTGCCTAGTCATATCTGAAGTGATGTACCCCAAAATGGGTTAAATCATGAAACTGGTTCATTCGCTAAAGCTAAAAAGCTATTATATGAATTTCTTGGGTCACACATCTACATTTAGAGTAGCACTAGTAGTTAAATTAAAGCCAATCTATGGAAAAAGTTTATAGGGTGTTTAAAAATACCCTAATTTATTCCAAAATTATGTTTTGCTTCCTGAAAACCATAATAAAAAGGTATGCTAGAATTAGAGAGAGTTGGACTTTATCTACATATGCAGTGTAGTTGTAGCTGTATCAGTCCCAGGATATTAGAGAGACAAGGTAGTTTAGGTAATATCTTTTACTGGACCAACTTCTGTTGGTGAAAGAGACAAGCTTTCAAGCTACACAGAGCTCTTCTTCAGGCTCTGTGTAGTTCAAAAGCTTGTCTCTCTCACCAACAGAAGTTGATCCAATAAAAGATATTACGTCACCCACCTTTATCTACATTTTCTCTCACATTTTCTCTTCGTGCCCTCTTCCATGCTGACCTTATGCCCGAAATATCCTGCCAAAACCTGTTTACTAAGCTTCCTTTCTCGCCACATTCAAATCCCTTCTAAAAAAATTTTTGCCACCTTGCTTATGAGAAGTTAGTGGAAGGTAAACAAACAAAAAATACCAAGATGTATATACAACCCAGTGACTAACCATGTTTTCTTATTACTGTCATCCTTGCCATTCTTTTCCCCTTGTATGTTTATGACCCTCACTTGTGGGTATTATGTTAAATTTAGCTAGGAAAACATTTTTACTTGTTTTGTGATGCATCCAACATATCATTGGATGCTAGAAAAATAAATAATCAGGATTAGCGCTCCGTGTTTAAATTTAAGTGGTGTTTGTTTGTTTGTGTGTTTATTTTTTGGGGTCAGAAGGATTTCGGCAAGGCTTCTGTGGAGAGGGATTTTGCAAGAACCAGTGCTAGAAAAAAAATCCCTACCAACGCTGATAAAGGAAACTGAACTGGAACCTTGTTTTAAAGTGGTTGTAGCCAGCAAATTCCTGATTCCTGTGCAGACTAAGCAACAGTAATATGGTACATATAACTTCTAACCTTTCTAAGTTGTATGCAGATAAAGTTCTTCATTGATACCAGTGACATATTAAAATTATATTCTGCACTTTACACAAGGGGAAGATTACCAGGCACTGCAGAACTGTGATTAATTATTCAGACTGAAAGGGTTTATTATATGTCTATAATATGAAATATAATATTGTAAACCAAATATACATGCAACATTCAATAATTCATGAAAATTTATCAAAATAATAAGCTTTTCATCCTTGTGACTCTAAAGGAAATTCTAACGATTATGGAAATTACTTATTTTTGATAAAATGTTGATCAATACTAAGTTACTAAAGTTATATATTGTTTAATAAAAATATCAAGTTAACTACTAAAAGTATTTCAAGAAGAGACCATTTCGATCAATATCAATTCCATAATCTGATTAAATATATTTTTCCCACTCCCTTTAATCAAATCAAAATTTCCCAAAGTGTGGTCCATGTCCCAAAGGACTACCCATGGGGGCAAGAAAAATGGATACATTAAGATAGGGAGGACTTTAACAACACATGACAGAGTTGCAGGGGCAGGGAGGGTGGACTGGTTTCATTTTCCCAAAGCGGGGCTCAGTTTTCAAAAATCTGGGAAATGCTGCATTAAATACATGATCAGTATTTCCCAAACTATTGTAGAATTTGGAACCTCCAGCCCAAGATCAGCTAGACACAAACAAATTAAAGCATCTAAATCTTTTCCGAGTCACATGACTCCTTTGTATGAGTGGAAAGGATAATATTTTAAGGACAAAATAGTCCTTTTTAATAAGCAGCCTTCAATAAAATCTTTTTACAAATAAATAGTATAAAATTGACAATACATTTCTATTCCACATCGAGCTGAATTCCAAAATACCTACATTTTCACATTCCTCACACATGACAGTGCTAGTCAATTCACCAACAAAGATCCTATCTATGAAGTTCATCTTCACACCCTCTCTTCCATATGCTGAAAAAACATTACCTTTTTTAATGTGAAAAAAACAGATCCAATGCCACTGTATAAGTACAATGTAATTCTTTCTATGATTTATTCGGAACACATATAGTACAATGTAGGAATATGCTCAAAATATTTCCTACCACTAAAGAAATTAATTCAATAAAAGATATCATTTACTTTAATATTTGTCAATGCTTAGAAATACAGAATTCAGTTTCTCCCTCCCCCTCCTCCTTCAGTAACAGAATAATGCTGCATCTCCTTTTAAGAAAGGTTTTTTATTTTAATACACAATGCAAGTCATAAGTCCTATTGATATAATATTCTATTGCACTGTAGCAGGCATTTAGGCAGGAGACCTGCTGGTTGATTTTCTAAATGACAAATAGCTTCTAAAAAACTGTACAACTCAAAACCAAAACCTGTTCAATAGATTTGTAATACATTATCAAGATCAAATTACTACAGGTTTGGCAAGGATTAACTTAATTTTTCAGAACAATTACAATACCATTGGAATTTTAATTAAGCTTTAAGTATTATGCAAATAAAAGACTGAGGTTTAGAAAATACTGCCCTGATTCAAATAATTCATCTTATTTTTGTGTTGTTATTCTCAACACACTTATGTCGTCAGCAACCTTGTGGCAATTTAATCAATAACGCATTTAAGGTGGTCTCTTTATGAGTGATGCAATAGTTGTGGCCTTAATGAAAGATCTGAAGATGCAGCAGAATACTTAAGTAAAAGTAAAACTAAGTTTTACACGCCTATATGACAGTAATTAACAAAAGAAAGCCTTTATTCTAGATACTGGAAACAGATTAGTACATAACACTTCGATACTTTACATGTGCACTAGATGGCACCAGAATAACACATAATAAAAGTCTTATAAAACCATCTGCAATACTTCAAGGCAGTCAATTTTGAAAATTGTATTTTAAAACTTGTACATTTATTTATTTTTTTAAATAGTGATTGATTCATTTGCTAAAAAGAACTTAAAAATAAATCACTATAAATAACAAGACAATATTGTATTAAAGAATAACATACCTTTAACTTTTCTTTTAGTTTCCTCATCTGCAGTTTTAGTTGTTGGATTGTTGAATGCTTTTAAGATACCAGCTTGTATACGCTATAAATATAAACACAAATATTTAATAAGTATTTTCAGTGGGTGATAGGCACTCTAAAAACACTGACAGACTGTTAGAAACAATTTTTGGTTATTTCCAGAAAACTAGACAAAAGTTTATATAACTCTAGCTTTAACTACATCAAGCATTTTTCCTCACAAAAAGGGCAAATTTTAGGTAGGTAGTGAATTTATCAAGAAATTGTGGATTATGAAGTGAACATTGCTAGGAAAGGAAATAATAAATTGCTTTGTAGTGCAGTGACTGGCTGGAATATAAATGTGTAAAATTTGCTAAATATCTTTAACCATGCTTCGATTACTCTATTTAGAGAGTAGTAGGTTTAAATTTTATTTGCTAGTCAATACAACCTTTAGTCACACATCAATGTGTGTACAGAAAACTCCCATTAACCCATAGAAGGATTATCTGAATGTACTGAAGAGAATGTAGAACCCTACAAATATATTTTTGGAGGAGGCAAACTGCATCTAAATAGCATCCAACAGAATTATATTACCTGTACCTATAGCTTGCACATAAAAATAGCAAGTTTTGCCCACTTCTCAGCAAAAAATTAACAGCAGTTACCATAGTGAGGTCCCATATTAATAAGGCTTCAATATTTCTACAGAATATATAACTAACTTTTCCCCAGTATGCTGTGGAATAGCATAAATAATTAAACTAAACGATACTCTCAAATACAGGTCCAGAGTACATTTTTGGATGCATTATCCATATGTCCCTGTTTTTATTTTCCTCCCTTTTTAAAAGTACTTATTCACAGTCTTCAGTAATGTGTAATGGGTTTCCATTTCATTAGTGAAAAGTAGCGAAGTTCTACTGTATTACTATATTTGTTAAATGGCACATGGAAGTCACAAACAGAAACGAGCTGTGATGCTACAAAAGTCTTGTATGTAGTCCATAGCAGACCTACTAACAAATAATCATCACTTTTACAACATAGTTCTAAAGTATAAAATATATATTAAAATTTGAGATGGTTATAAGTTGTCATGTCATGTCATGTTCCACTCAAACCATATGTACTGGGAAATGCTATGATGAAGGATAGCTTTCGAGATTCGATTTCCAGTTCATCTATCTACCCACAGATTAGTCATACTTCTACCTTATGAGTATGTGACCTGGCTTGTGAATTAAGTCCGGACGCCCCAAGCTCTGCTTTGTTCATCTTAAAGCCAACAATATACTAAAAGGTCTAATCAATACGTAATTCACCAAGTTGAATACCATAAATGGGTTTAGGGCCATAAGCAACCCCTTTTGTTGGGATTAGTGCGTTGAACCATTTATTTAGGTCAAAGAAAGACATAGTCTTTGAATGGTCAGGGTGCTACTAACAATGGCAGCAGACATTAATCAATTAGCAGCAGGGTTCAGCTACTTCAAACCCTGGTGTGAAACAATCTCCAGCACACATCGCTGGAAACAGCAGACAGTGTGTAATTTGGATTGTGGTATTGACAGACTTTATTTTAAAGGTCCACTTTTATAGATTAATGTATTTTCAGAAGGATGCAGAAAAAATAAAACAGGATTCCAAATAATGCAATATTGTTTCAGAAAGCCCAGAAATTGGAGACAAAACCTCAAGGCACTGTAGAAGAACTGTTTTATAGGCTGTAAAAACAAATTAAAAGCATAGTGAAACGGTAATTTATGTAGCGCTATAAAAGCATTTTGAGATTGCACTCACCTATTGGAATACAGTAGATATACTTTAAAGGACCAAATAGCTTTGATTGAAAAAATTAATCAGAATTTGTAAGAGAAGTGCCAATTAGACTGCTCAACTAAACAGAAGGTTTATCACAGGTACACTGAAGTGGTTAGCTGCTATTTTATCAGGGCTGTTACCGAAACTTTACACTCAAAAGCAAACATTTAAAAGCAGCATGAAAGAGGAAGGTTAGTGGCTATAATCATTTCTAAAGGATTCTGGTGGCAGACATATTGCTGTAGGCTTTCTTCAATCAAAAAACACATGGTAGTGACACTCCATAACAATAGCACGATTAACAGCTGTGCAGTTCCCATGACAGACAATGCTGCTACTGCTTGTATCTGACTGGCACAACTGTCATTGCTCACAAGATTGAATAGATCCACAGATCTGACATTCTCAGTTTGTCATACCATTTATAGACCCGAAAAAGAAAGGGGGAGAAAAAAAGAGCTTTTACTAGTAATGTCCCTTACTGCACAGCCTGAGGTGATAAAGTCACTGTTAATAGTAATGCACCATTATGGCAAAACAGGGGTTTAAGTGCTATAAAAGGTGGGACCAACCTTCACTTACCCAATGACAGAGATGGCAGAAATACTGTACAACCTAATGTATAAAGAAAATATTCCTCAACATGTTCTATTATGGTGATAACAGCAGCCACCATTGCTCTCTAATGAAACTATTAATAGGACAAATAAAAAATACACGCTAAGACCTAATGACGCTGCCATGTTCACTGATGGCACTGGAGTTTATGCTGTCATTTGTGTTAATCTGTTCATTATGGGGAGAGGGAGGAGTGTCAGAATATTAGTTTAAGTAAGCATTCCCTTGCTTTTACTGTTAAACCTATATTCTTATAGGTTGTATAGTAAATAGGGTTTAAACCACTCTACCCCATTAAAGTCAACAAGAACAGCACAGTAGTGCCATCACTACAACATTCTGAAAACTCTTTTTCCCCCTTAAATTAAAAGAAATAAAAACAGCTATCCTTATACTTTTGCTCAATGGGTCATTTTATGACATTATAATGTCAGGACTGAGAAAAGCTTCTCCATAGTTCACTATTTTTATGATGCAGCCTATTGTTTACATGAACTAAGTTTTCAGGTTTGCAAAAAGGAGCTTCTTATTATTAAACTGGGTTTGAGTTGCATGTTAGCAATGCATTTCCACAATTCATGCTAACCACTTTTGCAGCTTATTTATAGATACTGTCACTGCATAATCTTGTTGTACATTACAAGCTATAATAGTAATGTCTATAGACTTTATTCAGTCAATTAAAATATGGACTGACTGATGACCAGATGTGCCATTTGTCAAAAAAATAGTTCCATGAAGTCCAAAATACATAAAAATACTGCATCATAGAGCTGTTATGTGGCGATGGCTCAATGGCTCTATTGTGCCAGAGACCCGGGTACAGGAGTGGCTTCAGATCTCATGTCCATGATAATTCAGTATAGGTACATTACAGATACTAGACAAGTAAACTTTGCTTGGGATGGAAGAAGGGCTATATTGAATGATCACTACTACAGTAAAGTGCCTCCTTTGGGAAAAGGCTATTTTCTATTACACCTGAAGAAAGACCTTTTCCTCTGAGTCAGAAAGAGGCAAAACAGTGATGAACCTGAGATGTCAAACAAATCAGATCAGGTGTATTATGGTTCAAAACTGCACTTCTGGAAACAGGGAAGTAAGGGGCAGAAATGAAGAAAATAAATACTAAATGTGTATAGATATCTTTTTTATATAAAAAGCTTTCTTTATGTATATATATTTAGTACTTGATCTAGATTTGTTAAGTAATGGGAAGTACAATTTCATCTGTAAAACAAGCAATTTTTCTTCATTTAGAACATTGCTAAAAGACATTAGAAACTTGGATAATATTTTTGCTTTAATTTTTTTCCAGTCAAATTGGTTTTAGTGAAGTTTTATAACATAAACTAATTGCTCCCTGGATGTGGGGCAGTATATGAAGTTTTATCCTGAAGCAGATTTTACCAAATGAGTTAGGGACATGACTTTTACCCTACCACTTAAAAAGTATATTTTTTAATAACTACAGATGAATCGGTCTCCTAAAATGGTGCTTCCAAAGTCACTGGAAAATTATAACAACCACCATTTATGATATCCCCTTCAACAATCAACTGAAATCTGTATCCAGATCAACAAATTTAAAATACCAAAATGAAAATGTAATCAAGTTGCTTTTTTGAAAAATAGTGGAAACAAGCCTTAGTAGTCATTTCATTATTTTAAACAGAGAAAACAAAGTGTGTGAAAAGGTGACATCTGATCTACAGTCAATTCGAGCTAGTTCACTGAAAATATACAAAGATTTTACCTTTGTTTCTTCTATTCTCATTGCATCCAACAAATAGTGGAGAAGCTCTTGGCTATCCTGCTGTTGAAACCCTTTAAACCGAGGGGCCCTATAGAAGAAGCGAGAAAGAAGTTCAGAATAACTCCTATGGCTTCCACTTAGGATCTCTGGGGAAGCATTTTCAAAACACTATGCCCCCTCCCCCTACCGTGCCCCTCCTCTACCCTTCCAAAATAATAATAAATCATCATCATCATCATAAAAAAGACAAAAACCTCAGGCTGACGTATAGAATACAAGACTCAGTGTTATAATACGTACAATATTTGGAAAAAATATATTTAGAGACTGAAGGAACATCTTGAGTCTTGGACCAAATGGTAACATACTCCAGGTCAGAAAGAACTGTACACAAGTACAGTTACTTAGAAAGTAACAGTAAAATAAGAACTCATCCTCATTTATATTTCAATAATCTACCTATGACAGCTTCAAGCCTACTTGCTCAACCTTTTGATCTGTAACTTACTGAATGTAGTGAAAGGCATCTGAATGGGTAAGATGGTGAATATATTAAAAAAATAAATGCCATGCACCATATGAATTTTAGTTTTTACTGGGGTAGGGGTTCCCAAACTTGGTTCACGGCTTGTTCAGGGTAAGCCCCCGGCAGGCTGCGAGACGCTTTGTTTACCTGAGTGTTCGGAGGTACGGCCGCTCGTGTTTCCCGCAGTTCCCATTGGCCGGGAACAGCGAACCGCGGCCACTGGGAGCTGCGAGTGGCAGTACCCGTGGACGCTCAGATAAACAAAGTGTCTCGCAGCCCGCCAGGGGCGTACCCTGAACAAGCCGTGAACCAAGTTTGGGAACAAATTCTCTCATGCTTTGCTGATGTACATAATTTCTACTAAACCCCAGTAATCTTTTATTTATGCAAAATTTCTTTAAATCATGCTGTTACTAATAGAGATGGGTGTTCTTAAATAAACATTCCCATTCTGGAAAACCAGGTAATCTTCTTAAACACTAATATGAGTCAAATAATTTTTGGTTATATAATCAGTTATTCAGTGTTATATAATGAATAACGGTGATTAATCGCAGTTAACTCATGCAATTAAATTTTAAAAATTTTTAATTAAAAACATCAATCACATAAATCACAGTTTTAACCGCACTGTTAAACAATAGAATACCAATTGACATTTTAAAAATATTTTTGGAAGTTTTTCTACATTTTCAAATATATTGATTTCAATTACAACACAGAATACAAAGTGCTCCGTTTATATTTCTTTTGATTACAAATATTTGCATTGTAAAAACGACAAACAAAAGAAATAGTTTCCCTCCCCCACAGCCACGCCGGCAGCACTCAGGGCCGCGGGGTTGTGCGCTCCTGCCAAGCAGCGCGGCAGCATGTCTGGCTCCGACTGGGCAGCACAGTGACCGGACATGCTGCTCTGAGCGGCATGGTAAGGGGGCTGGGGCTGGGGGGGGGTTGCATAAGGGGTGGGAGGTCCCAAGGGACAGGGAGCGGTTGGATGGGGTGGAGGTTCTGGGGGGCAATCAAGGGACGGGGGGTGGGGTTGGATAAGCATGGGAGCAGGGCTGGCTCTAGGCACCAGCAAAACAAGCTGGTACTTGGGGCGGCACATTTTTAGGGGCGGCATGGCCGGCGCCAGAATGCTGCCTCTAAAGAGGTGCCCCGGCCACCCTAGCTCACCTCCGCTGTTGCTGCCACGGCGCACGAAACAGCTGATTCGCGCGCCGCTACTCGCCCTCCCTCCCAGGCTCTCAAACAGCTGTTTCGCGCACCGCGGCGGCTCGGGGTCTCCCCCTCCCTCCCAGGCTCTCAAACCTGGGAGGGAGGGGGAGATCCCGAGCGGCCGTTTCGCACGCCGCTGCTCCTCCTCCCTCCCAGACTTGAGAGCCTGGGAGGGAGTGGGAGAAGCGGCGCCCGCGCCGCGGCCTACTCAGAGTCTCCCTCTCCCTCCCAGGCTCTCAAACCTGGGAGGGGGGGGAGACTCCAGGTGGCCGCGGCGCGGCGGGCGCCGCTTCTCCCCCTCCCTCCCTCCTAGGCTTGAGAGCCTGGGGGGAGGAGGCAGGGCTGGGGATTTGGGGAAGGGGCGGAGTTGAGGTGGGGCCGGGGGTGGGGTAATTAAAGAATGGGGGAGCGGCCAAAATTGTTTTTGCTTTGGGCGGCAAAAATCCTAGAGCCGGCCCTGTGGGCAGACCACTTAATGATCTTTCCAATGTTGTTTGTACTGTTAGCTAACTGTTGTAAAGCGCTTTGGATAAAAGCGCTATATTAAAAAAAATAAACTTTTTTTGTTCTACAAATAAAAGCACACACCTCATATTTTAATATCAGTAGTTTTACCTTTCTAATGCGATGGATGTGCCCTCTCCCCCCCTCCGTGGCAGCCCCCGAGCTGGGACTGGGAAGGGGGTGGGTCTCTGCCCCACCCAGAGCTGAGGCTGGGAAGAAGGGCCGTCTCTCCCTGGCAGCCACAGCCCTGGAGCTGGGGAAAGTCGCCTCTTTCTCTGGACACCGCAGCCCTGCACGTCCCAAATTCCTCCCACCCCCTCTTCTCACCCCACTGCCCCCTTCCAACTACCCCCTATTCCCCCCAAGGCCACCACCTCACCTTACATGTGCATCTTCTCCAGGGTTCAGGCACCTAATTAGTGGCGCCACACCTGCGCAGCTCCACTAATTAGGTGAGTGGCCCTTCATTGTTTCATGTGTGGCCACGCACCTTAGAGGGAACTATCCGCGGACCACCTGAATGGAGCTGGCAGATCACTCATGATCCGTGGACCACAGTTTGAGAACCACTGCTCTAGGGCTATCCACTGGAACTGCACATCACCAGGTCCCAAAGCCGCTTACCTCTGGGCCAGCCACAGGAACTCTAGCCACCAGCTAAAATGGGATTATGTTTGGAGGAGAGGGCCATGCCCCAGAGCTGGGGGATGGGTGGGGGAGGCAAGAGCTGCCCTCCCCTGGAGATGTCTTACCTTCCCTTGAAGAATGCAATGTAGATGGGAGAAGAGTAGAAATTGACAAACTGGAAGACAAACACTTTGAAGGTGAAAGCATCTTCGTACTTCGTCTGAGTCCGGTGCATCTCTGTGGCAGAGCAACACACACAGACAGCATCAGCTCTGCCCTGCGGCAATATTCAAGGAGACTAGCAGCACTTACTCCTGTCACCCAGTAACCATGGCAACAGCATCCCTAACAGAAGAACCTGGATGACTGTGTGTTGTTTAGGAGGCTTTTTTGTTTGATCTTTAAGATGTCTGTATTTTTAAAACTCCCAACAAATGCATTGTCACCTAGGATTTCACGGGTGTTATGTTATGTGGTGTGGCCATGCAGAACGTCATAGCGACAGCCAGGATAGGACCCAGTCCCTCTTGTGCACAAGCCCACGGCCCTGATTCTTGAGCCTATGGAGAATCTCGATTAGCAGTCAGCAGTAAAGGGCCTAGGACACACACGTGTACAGGTCTGATTCTGTCTGGCAGAGGGCAATAATGTTGTACTGTACCTATAAACTAGCTACTAGCAAATTCATTAGATTATTTTTCTTTTTAAAAAGGCTAATAAAGATCATATCCTTTAATATTATTTCTAGAGCTGGTCAAAAAAATTGCTTTATTATTCTGCAAAAAAATTAACAAAAACATTTTCATTTCCTGTAAGTTCAAAATTTTCGGTAGAAAATATCCAACAACTGTCACTAAATTTCAGTTTATTGATTAAATGAAAATCAAATCTTCCCCTCCCCTGCCCCACAGCCAAAAAAAAGAAAATTTAAATCAAAATGAAAATATTAATCAAAAAGATTGTTAAAAAAATTCAGCCTTCTCTAATTATTTCCAGCATCCCTCTGCACACACAATGCTTTTCCCAGGCATCCGCCAGCATTAACCCTGGACCCTCAGAAAGCCATTGGACACCTGACTTCAGGACTCCTGCATTGCAACTTTTGATGTTTTGCCCTATGAGACAAATTCCTTCCTTGTGTCACACTATCTAGCTTGCAGGACCTAAGACAGCACTCATGAAAACTGGGAAAGGTGGCAACCTGGTGACCCTACACCAAACACCTGCATTCATTCCCTGCCTTGGTACCTCTCTACTTTGATCTGAGCCCTTCCACCTTTCTCAGTTCCTGACCTGTCTGTATCCTCGTCTGTCTGCCTTTTCCATTCTGCACCTAAATCCAATTTATTTTAGCAGCCCCTGCTTAATGGCGTAAGAATCCAGCTGAAGACAATGGACCAGATTCTCCCCTCCTGTGTGAGTGGGTGTGATTCCCTCTCAGATCAGATGGCAGTGTTTCACACTTGCTTTGTGCAGGTGGAGGTGAGTGCAATGCAAAAGTTGCAAAGGAGTGGGGAGCCAGGCCTGTCAGGAATTGTCCCAGGGAACCACAGTTGAAGTCTGTGCAATTTCCCTTCCACCACTTACCCCACTTGGTAAGGAAATGGGCCAGTGCAATGTAAATTTTAGAGAGGATGAGGATGAAGATTAGATTCACCACTGAGCCCGTGAGGCTGGCAATACGAGATGCCTAGAAAAGAGGAGAGCAGAGGGAATGAACCAGAACATCCCCTGGGGCTTGCTCAAGCCCATTAAACCCCAGGGCAGAGCTGGCTGCATCTACCTCTTACCGATGCCACAAAGAGGAAGTTCCCGGATCTTGACACAAGGATGCTGACGATCGCCCGGTACAGGATAATGGAGATCAGAAACATCACAACCACAGCAATCTGCAAACACAACCCAATGGCCATCAACTTGCCATCAGGAACTACAGTGTGTTTGGGGGAGCTGGGCTTGCTCTGATCTCTGGGGGCACTGGCAGCTATGGGAGAGCCACGCAGGCAGTAAGAGGCAAACAGCATGCAGAGAAGAGGCAGTCATGCTAGGAGCTGCAGACTCCATGAAAGACCTACAGAGCCAGGCACAGGGCAGCGGCCTGCAGTGCCCTTACCATCATGATGATGATCATCAATCCAGCCATGACCCGTTTTACGCGGTTCTGCTTGGGAAAATATGGCTCCTCTGCTCCAGTAATTGGGTTCTCCATCGTCATTGGAGCCATGGCAGTGAACTGGGGTCGCGGCCGCTCCTAGGACAGTGGGAAAAGGCATCACTTTGATTTGGCTTTGTATGGCCTTGGGAGTTCAGCTGTGTGACGGAGGGCCAGGCCTGTACCTCAATGTCCTCGAAGTCGGAACAGTCCCAGCGGTGCGCCAGGGTGGCGTTCATCCGCTTCCAGTACTCCAGGAATGTCACTGCCCACAGGGACATGAAAATGCTGAAGAAGATGGTCCCACCGTGGTCGAAGAGGCGGCCTGCCTATGGAGCAAAGCAAGGCGAGTGAAAGGAACGCTCAGGGGACCTGCAGGCGGAAAGGGATGCTAGGGTGGATCCTGAGAGCAGCAGAGTGCTAACTTTCTGGGTGTGTGAAGGGAGGTGAGGGCAGGAGAGAGAGAATGAGTTTCCCTCTGGGACAGACCGGGAGGTTCCCCAGGGGAAGCATTGGGGTTTCGGTAAGAGACAAAGCAGCACTGGAACGGATCATCTACAAGAATCAGAGTGCTGGATCAGTCTGAGTCCTTGGACCCAGGCTGGAGCGCTCCAGAGGCAGCAAGGAGATCAGTGGCAGCACAGTGCACAGCTGATTTGCCCACCTGTTGCCAGCACCAGACCCATGCTGCTCCCAAACACAAGTCGTGGCATGCCAGGAACGGCGGCATGGGGACAGGGTAGACAGCAATTGGGATTCCTGTGTCTGATCAACCAGAGCTGCCTGTGCTGCGCTGAGAAGATGACGGCAGGGTATGGCTTTGGGGTGTGCAGGGAACAGTTCACAGCTTGGGGCCCCATAAAGGCTTCACCCCAGGCTCAGAGCAGGACCCGTCCCACTCTGAGCATTCATCTCTCCCTGCACAGGGAGGGGGCCTCAGCTTCAGACAGGCAGAAAGGGAAAGAGTCTTTCCTTATTCTCTCTGGATTTGCTTGAATCGCCCTGGGAAGAAGTTGGAGCCACATGGAGAGGTCACCCTCGCTGTCTGAATAACCTTACCTCAGTGCTATCAAACGCTCCTGCTGGCGAGAGAAAGAGCTTTGGGCCAGATCCCCAGCTGGTGTAAATCAGCCGAGCTCCACTGGAGCCAATGGGCCGATCCCCACCTGGTGCAAGTCTGGACCAAAACTGAAGTGAATGGAGCCATGCCAATTTACATCAGCTGGGAGGACTGGTCCATTATGTAGATTAGGGGTCTGGAGCACATGACTTATGAGGAGAGGCTGA